GTATTCCTGTACCTAATGTTGGTATGATATGTTTTCATATTTCATTTGGTATATGAGCTAGTTCATGGTGTATTGTCATTTTATTGTTTCTTGCCAATTGTGGTTGGTATTGTAATAATTCGATATTGAATATTTCTTTTTCAATATATAATGATTCATCAGTAGTTGTGCTTTTATTACTTTTTGTATCTATTTCATCATTATCGTTGCTATAGTATTCTTCTTGAAATTGTAATTGTTCTCCTTCAACAATAGTTTGAGACATAGATACTTGTTTTGATGATGTTTCTTGATTATGTCTTTCATCAAATGAATCTTGTCTTTTTCTATAAAATTCATCATTTTGTTCTTCTTCATAGATATTTGTTATTGCTTAATCTTTTACTACATTATGTCTTAAATCTGGTTCTTGTCGTTTCTTATATATTTCTTTGCCACCAGTTTGGCGATTTTGGTGGTTGTTGAATTATTTCTTCAGTTTTTGGTAATGATTGAATTGTTTCTAGATTCATGAATATTACTTGTGGTCTTTCTTGACCTGGTGAATAGTATTCTACTTGTCTCAATACATTAGTTTTAACAATATCTTCGTTATTGGTTTTATTGTTATTTTCTAGTTCGATACTGGATATGCTTGAACTTGATGTTTTAGGTTGTTGTTGATAATTCTTTTGGTTATCGTGTAGTTGTTGGTAGTAGACATCTTCTAATCCACTACTATTTGTACTTCCAGATCCTGATCTAAATCGTGGTTTAGTGACTCCAATTGTTTCATGTATTTTTTCTATTAATTCTTTAGATACTGTTTCAAATATTATTCCTGGAGAATTAGTTACAGGATTTCATATTTCAGTAGTTTTAATTAAATCTAGGTTTTCTTGTTTTATCCATACTGTTAGAAAATCTATATGTTTTTGTTTAGTATTTTCTTTTATTTCTTTGGTAGGGTTTATCTCAGATATTCCCAATAAATTCTGAATAATAACTTGTCTTTTAGCATTATCTTCCTTTTTAAACTCATCTAGAATCATATTTAGTATTCTATCTGTTTCTCCTCGATATTTTAATTCTCGTTCTTATACTTCTTCTTTTAAGTGTTGTTGCGTTGAATATTGTTGATTATCCCAATATTCCATAAAGGCATATATCTTTTCTTTATCTGTCATCGTAGTATTTCCATTACGTATTTCTAATGGTAATGTTGCTATTTTTTGAATCATATCTGCAAATTTCTTTGCTTCTCATTTATTTATTCTATTGACTCAATTATATTGCATTTCTATGTTTGTTACTTTATCCAGTAAATCTGCTAAATCCTTTTGTAATACTTCTGAGTTCTTTTCTACATGTTCTTTTAGATTTGAATTTTTCTTTTTCAAATCTCCTAGTAGATGTCCAAAGCTTGGTGAAGCTAGTGTAGGTGGTGGTGTTTTCATTTTTATTGGTTTCATAGAATGTTTATTCAATACTTCATTAACTTTGTCTACTATTCTGGATGCTTTATGCATTGTCATATTTTTTTGGGATTTTTGTTCTTTTTGGTTATAATGATTTTCTTGACCTTGTAACGTCATTTCTGCCAGTTGTCTGGTAATATAATCTATTACTTGTGTAGGTGATGATTCTTGCGTTCTACTCATATATATTTCTTGAGGTGTAAATAGGTATTTCATTCCTAATGTTGGATCCTATTTTGATAAGTCATCTAATCTTTTCTTTAAAGATTGATCCAATTCTCTGTCGGATAGTAATATGTTGTTAGCATAATATCATAATATTTGTATCTCATTTATTTGTTCCTTTATATCCCATTCTGTTTTTCGTGGTGTTTCTAGTATTGCAGTTTTTGCATATTGTATTATTTTTTTGAATATTCCTTGTTCTAGTTGGCCATGCATTATATGTGCGTGCACGTCTTGTCCGCTTCCAAAGATTGTTGG